AGATGGAGTAGTAGAAAGCCAAAAACTTTCTTTTATAATCCTATTCTGACGTCGATACCCCTCATGTGGTTACAGTGCCAACCGTTTATTCGAATGATAATTATTCGTTTGAAATACATGCATACCTCTTAGCAATTTGCTATTTTGAATATGACGTAAAGTTCCTAAATTACATATATTTGATTTTGTGTTTAATCTGTCTATCAAATTGCGTTTCATCTATTTCAGTTCGTCCATAGTAAACTGCGTAAGTTTGACGAACTATTTTCACGAAACCGAAAACATGGAATCTTTGAACAAGCTACAAATTGCCAATCCACCCACGCATCCTGATAAGCACAGCTTATCATATTCCAGAACCACATCGCTATTCCGCTCCAGTTTCTCATGCTGTTTCGAAGAAGATGGAGAAGAAAGAAGAGTATTCGACGTAGACGGATTCGAATCAGGTAGATCTAAGTTACCGGAAGGCTTCGACAATCTGATTTCGAAACCTCTGATCTAGTCAACAGCAAGGTGTGCACTATATTGTTTGAAAGGGCTATCAAAAGAAGATCGTTGAAGATGCATACTTCAATCGAAGTGGAACCAAAAAAAGACATCAAACGTCCAAAAATCGCCCACCATGAGGAGACTGAAGAAACTTTTATATCTCTTTTGGTATCTGAACTCCAACAAGATTTTCACTCAAAGTGAAAAGATGATGATGTGTGCCGTGCAAATATCTTCTTAAGAACAAGATCTGATACCAGAGAGCAGTGCACACAGCTGCTGAAAGACAGTCAAATTACTGCTGCACACTCCAGCGAAAGGGTCATTCTGCTCTTCCACTGTGGATTTTCTAGTGAACGAGATCCCAATCTGTAAGTATTTCATTTTTTTGAATAATTTATATTATATTCATATTGTACTTATATCATACTAGCACTATGTTGCTGTATCGCTGCTGTTCCAATGTTTTGACAGAATCAGAATCAACGAACTCAGGCGTTCGCAGTGGTACAGAACAAAAAATTGTTCTACAGCGCCATCTAGTGGCGAGTTACAGAAAAAATGATAGCCTAAAAACCTTCTCTATGGAAAATTACTTATACATTTCAAGTTTCATCAATAATAAAAATGGAATTCAAAGTATCCCCCGCTTTTTTACAACAAAATGATTTTTTTGTAGATAGATTTATTTTGATTTCAGATTCATTGAAAGTCATAAGTTAGATAAAGCCATAGGACTTCTATCGATGTCGAACTCAATCTTAAGTTAGTTTCGAGTTATTTTTTTGTTTGTGTTGCTATTGAAGCCTGTTTTATGTTTTCATTTTTACTGTTACTTATCTAATTAGAGAAATCGATGATTCCGTAAAGCGAATTTCGATCAAATTAGGGTTCCGAAATATTCAACTCCAAAATAATTTTATCCGAGTTTGAAGGTTCTCTCTCAAAGGATAAAAACCAGAATAATGCTGACCAACAAAAACCATTTGTTTGCACAGACAAAAATATCACCGAGTGGTGGTTCGAATGAAATATAGTAAACAATAAGTCATCTGAATCAGAACCAGAAAATGAAAATGGTCGGTCGGTCGGTAGCCAAGCGGTTCGGCGTGGGTGCTTTGTTCACTCACTGGAATTGACTGCCGTGTTGGTCGGTGGTTCAAGCCCTAGTCTGAACGATCGATCTTCACTTGCTATCGTCCAACCCGTGTTAGGAATCACACGTTAAAAGGTAAGACCTCATTAATCCTTAGCTCGCACAAGTTTCGTCTGCTGAGGGTTGTCGTTCGTAGGGGTGCGATAGCTGGTTAACGGAAAAACAGATTTTGTACAGATTTTTTTACAGTTTCTCATATTCTTTTGAAGAAGAAGGAAAATACAGTCGAGTATGCGACGAAGAGAGCTTCGAAACGGACAAAATTAAGTTACCAGAAGGCTTCGACAATCTGATTTCGAAACCTCTGATCGAAAGTGCAAAAGGACAGGAGGCATCTTCGATTGAAGCCTGTATCAGTCCGTTATTCCATAGGGCTCTTTCCTTACGAGCCACTCTAGCCAACAGCATGGTGTGCACTAGATTGTTTGAAAGGGAAATCAAAAGAAGATCGTTAAAGATGCATACATCTATCGAAGTGGAACCTAGCAAAGACATCAAACGTCCAAAAATCGGCCACCATGAGGAGACTGAAGAAACTTTTATATCTCTTTTGGTATCCCAACCCCAACAAGATTTCACTCAAAGTGAAAATACGATGATATGTGCCGTGCAAATATCTTCTTCAGAACAAGATCTGATTGGTGACTTTAGTAGTAACTGCAGTTTACCGTTGGTTCAAGGTCGACATCAAGATCTCAAATCGATCTCTCCGCAGACCAGTGCCCAGCTCAGAAAGGGACCATTTGATGATGGTATCGGGTCCTTTAAGGTTATTGACTGTCGATACCCTTATGAGTTTGAGAGAGGGCATATCACTGGAGCCGTTAATTTGTACAACAGAAAACAGTGCATGCTGCTGCTGAATGACAGTCAGATTACTGCTGCACATTCCAAAGGGACATGTTGCTCTTCCACTGGGAATTTTCTAGTGAACGATCTTCCAATCTGTAAATATCCCTTTTTTTTATATAATACATATTATATTTATATTAAATGATGTTGATGTTACAAAGATAAGCTATGAGAGTTGAAAATCGTTCATAATTTTTTCATTTTTCAGATACCGTTTTCTGTGCAAGGAAGACCAAAATAGAAACAAAAGCAATTATCCACTTATCAGTTTTCCTGAAGTCTACCTGCTTGAAGAAGGTTACAAAAGTTCTTTTGAGTAATTCTCAGAAATGTGTACCCCGATCATCCTGACCACAGATGATATGAAATACTTCAAAAAAAAATCGAAGAGATGGAACTATGATTACCGCGGAGGTCACTCAAACATAAGACCCTACAAAAAATTGATATGGTTGAATTATTCTCAACAGCTTAAAATAACGTTATTCAAGTTTATGGTTATTATTATCTGAAAAATATATTCTGTCTGAACGATGACATTTTCAGTAATCACTACGAGGACATCTGCCGTTCATCTGCAGATTATTGGTCAGCAAACACTGGAAGAGTTTGAGGGGTCTTTTGAAAACTACCTGTATGATTATACGAACATCGATGCAGTGTTGTTCATTTCTGTTAGAAATCATGGTAATCATGATATCATGTTAAGACTATTGTAAAAGAAAAATATTCGAAATATACTTTGAAAAATTTGACGTGTAGTTTTTTCATTAACTGATGACATTTTCATTAACTGATGACATGTTCCTTCTAAAAGGCCGTAATATGTACCTTGATGATGTTTCATTTTGAAATCCCTATGCTTATTTCTTGCTTTTGCTTGCTTATTCATCAAAACTCTCTGTATGTTTATATTTGTGTGATGAGGTTTTTTGAGAGCTATAAATCTAATGTTAGTACAAAATTGAATTGTGATAAAAAATTAGGATATTCAATGTTGAGGTAGGTATAGGTAATTATATAATATTTGATTATTAGAAAAGAGGTGAATTGGGTGTGCAGAGATGCATAAGGCACAAAGTATTCAATATTTCTATGATCCTTTTCTGTACGCAAGTACCTCTTTTATAGTTTCAGTGCCAATCATTTATTTGAATAATAATTATTGTCGGAATTTGTTCCAAATACATGCATTTATCCTAACAATGTAATTTTTTGAAAATAACTTTGAATTCATGAAATGAAAACATTTAATTTGGTGTTGGATCTTTTCTATGAAAATACATTACATTCATGTCAGGTCATCCATAGTAAACAGTGAGTCTATCAAACTATTTTCACGAAACACAAAATTGTAATTCTTGATCAATCTGGCGATTGAGCATTCACCCACGCATTCTGATAAAAACGGTTTATCACATTTCAGAACCACATTGTAAGTCAGCTTTAGCTCATGTTCGTTTGGAAAGTATAATATAGATAGACTAGTATGCGACGTAGAGACCTCCGAAAAAAGCAGAACTAAATTACCGCAAGGCAAAGCTTATCTCTTTAACGACCATTATAAGGGGATCATTTCGAAATATCATTGGGTCTGTCGATATCCGTATGAGTTTGAAAGTGGACATATCACTGACGGAGCTGTGAATTTGCATACCCTAATAGAAGGCACATTCCATTCTTCCCCTGTAAATTTTCTAGTGAACGAGGACGTATTCTGTGAGTATTTTACTATTTATTTGTAATGCTCAACATTCGGAATCGAAACAAAAGCAATTCTCAGAAATGTGTACACCTATGGTATTCAAGCAGAAGTTCCATCCTGACCACAAACAAGATCATTGATTTTAGTAATGATTATTGTAGGAATTGTTTGAAAAAACATACATGTTATATGTTGTTTATTGACCTTAACAATGTTATTATTTAATCCAACATGGATTTTCTGAATTACAAATATTTAATTTGGTGTTGAATATTTTGTATTCAAATATATTTCATTCATTTCAGTTCGTTCTCAGTGAACTGCGAAAGTCTGTCAAACTATTGTCACGAAATACAAAACATGAAATCCTTGAACAACATGGTGATTGAGAGTTCTACCACGCGTTCTGATACGAACAGCTCATCAGATTTCAAAAGCAAATCGCTATTCAACTCCAGCTTCTGACGTCCGCTTGGAGAAGATAATATAGATAAACGAGTATGCGACATAGTAGGATCCGAAACAGGGAGAACTAAGTTATCGGAAGGCTTTGATAATCTGATTTCGAAACCTTTGATCAAAAATGCGGAAGAAGGGCAGGTGGTATCTCCTATGCCCGTATTTCTCAATTATTCCATAAGGCTGTTTCCTTACAGTAGCTTACAAGCTACTGCAACCAACAGCAGGGTATGCACTCGGTTGTTTGAAAGTGATACCAAAAAAAATCATCGAAGAGACATACATTTACGGCAGGCAAACCTGAAAAGGGCATCACACGTTCAAAACTCGTGCACAATGAAGAGATTGAATAAACTTTTATTTGAGTTCCGGTATCTCATCTCCAACAAGATTTCACTCAGAGTGAGAAGACCAAGGTTCGCCAGGAGCACTCCCAGGGAATATTCTCCAGAAGATATATATATCCATGGCATATTCATAGCATAATACAATATCCTTAAATGTATATTCATGAAATATACCTGGAATATCTATTGCTATGTGGGATGATGTGTGCCATGCAAATATCTTCTTCAGAACAGGGTCTCACAGGTGACTTTAGTAGGAAGTTGGTTCAAGGTCGACATCATGATCTCAAAGCGATCTCTTTGCAAACTTTGGCTCATGAAGAGATCATTTCAAGATATTTTTGGAACTTACTAGATTATTGACTGTCGATACCCGTATGAGTTTGAGTGTGGGCATATCATTGGAGCTGCGAATTTGTATACTAGAGAGCAGTGCATACAGCTACTAAAAGACAGTCAGATCACTACTGCACACTCTAATAAAATGGACAGTCTGCTCTTCCACTGTGAATTTTCCAGTAAACGAGGACCTGATCTGTAAGTATATTAATTGTTTCATATAACGATCTATTGGCTCTGATTGCTTATGAAAATTCCACGTTGTAACATTTTTATATGTCGTAATTGCTTTTTCATGTTTATGGTGCATAGTCCAAATTCTTGATACATATATTTGTTTAAAATTTTTTATGTACCGTTATTTATGCCAAGAATACCAAAATAGAAAAAAAGACAATTATCCATTGCTGAATTTTCCCGAGGCCTACGTGCTTGAGAGAGATTACAAAAGTTTATTTGAGCAAACCTCAGAAATGTATACACCGATGGTATTCAAACAGATACTTCATCCTGATCACACGGAGGATCTGGGATATGGAACTGTGATTCACGCGTAGGTCGCTCAAGTAGAGGGCCCTTGAAAATATTGTTGTGGTGGAATTATTTTCGACAACTCTCGAAACTGAAATGGGCCTGGAAATAAAATATATACTGTCTCAGAGATCACATTTTCAGTAATCACTACGGTTCATCTCCAAATTATTGCCCAGCAAACACAGTAAGTTTATAGGAACATCGATGCACTGTAGTTCATTTCAGTTAGAAATTTCTCACCAATGTTATGATATGAATATTGTAGAAGAACGATAATCAAAATATACTTTTGAAGAATTTGACGTATGATATTTTTATTAACTGAATGTGTATTCATTCTGAAAGGCCGTAACATGTAACTAGGTGGGTTTCATCTGGGTGGGGTTTCGTTTTTAATTCATTAGACTTATTGTTTGCTATAACTAGGACCCATCGAAACATATTGCAAGTATGCAAAATACAGCTTTCATACGATCGAATGACTTTCACTTGTTCGATTGGAAATGGAAATTAATGCCAACATCTACTAATCAGAATGGTGGTGTGAATATGCTATTTCCATTCATAATAACATAAAGCATTCCCAATTTTAGTAAAGGTCAATGTGTAAGCAATGTTTTATCAGACAATCAAACAATTCAAATGTAGAAATACAAGCATTTTGTATTGAACAAATTCGAAGGTGCTATCGTATAACGGAACACAAGATGACGTTTGGCATAAAATTAAATTGGATGCTCATTCAAGTTTCAAGTAAATATTTAGTATCATGAATTTTCATCGGTCATCTGTCATTTTGATCATATTATCCAGAAGTTGGTGCATACCAAAATTCTGATGTCAAGACTTATTCAGTAAGGGGAATTATTATGAAGTTTTGATAATTGAAAACCATTTTGTGATACTGCAGTCTCCGAAAATAGAGTAATTAGTTCCATGAAACTAAATTGAGTTTGCAAACCCTGCATAACTGCACACAGCTGTATACGTCAATCGGGATCAATTGTCTAAATGTATTTTTTTGATGAATGAGGTTCGGATTTCTATTGAATAGAAACGTGCTTTGCTTTATTTAAGTTACCTTTGGATGCTATTTTGCTAACGCCAACTCTCAATGCATGTATATCATTTGTGAACTAACTGTTTAGACCTATCTCATTAGTAATGTTTGATACAACTTAAAAATCAATAAATCATTCATCTATCCATCCGTCTATGATATTGCGTGGCCCTCCTATTTCCAATGCAATATTAATTTCTGTGAAATCACACAAGAGCTCTGTATATACGTACTTCGATATCTGGCGAGACATTTTACTCCTATTCAGATGGAGTATTTAGAGTAAAATTGTATCGTAATGACATCCAAGAAATTTGCAGTTCTGTTTTTCACCGATTTGAAGTACTACACCACTTTTTCTATAGATTTATATGTCATGCAAAATTATTCATCCATTGAAAATACGGTCCACTGTCATTCACAAATGTTATGCCTACCTGTAAGATAACTTGAATTTACAGTATATGAAAAATATACCTGAACCAGTTAATGAATTTCATAAGAATTACCTCAATTATTTATCCAAGACATCATATATAAAGCTCGAACCATGAATATGCCATTATATCAATATTATCTGCTTGAGTGAAGTCGATCTGAAAAAGAGTTGTAGTTTGTGTGAAAGTTGAAAGTATTTCATCTGATCCAAAGGAAACGTTACGTGAAAACAAGTAAGTACTTTAATTTCTTCATGTTGTATTTTCCCAACAGAAACAATAAGTGTTCTTTTTGAAAGAGTCGCAGTAGTTTCTGAGTTCATAAGATATGATACATATTTTTCGTGAAATTTGTGTTACTGATGTGGTACTTCGAGAGTGGTAAAACTTTGACTGGAATTATATATTTTGAGGGAGTGCAACCATTTCAAAATTGGGCTATGCTTTCAAAAAGTAACATTTTTCTTCAATTCATTTGTTACAATAATTTATGGTGGGTAATATCTTAAAGATTGTATGATTATGCCTTCCCAACTATGTTCTGTAGAAGTGCTGTGCAAATCTCATTCTCATTCGTGATTTTTCTATGGATCGAAGTTTTCACACAGGAACACAAAAAATTGGGTGTTTGCATTGATATATGTTGATTTTCCTTTCTTTTTTGTGAGTTTCTCATTATTTTTTTCACGAAAGGGGAATTTGAAAGTCTTGAAAGAATATTTTCTGATAATACATTATGGTATGATTCAAAGTAAACGATGCTTCAGTGCCAATCATTTATTCAACTGAAAATCATTGTTGGAATTGTTGCCATGTTATATGTTGTTAACTGACATTAACGATGTTTTTTTCAATCCAACATGTAACTTCTGAATTTCAAATATTTGATTTGGTGTTGAATTTCTCCTATTAAAATATGTTTAATTCATTTCAGTTCGTCCTTTGTAAAATGCGTGAGTCTGTCAAACTATTTCCACGAAACCAAAAACATGGAATCCTTGAACAACCTGGTGATTGAGAATTCTACCACGTGTTCTGACAGGAAGAGCTTATCACATTCCAAAATCAAACCGCTATTCAGTTCCAGCTCCTCATGTTCGTTTGGAGACGATAACATAGACAGTCGAATATGCGACATAGAGGGCTCCGAAACAGGGAGAACTAAGTTACCGGAAGGCTTCGATAATCTGATTTCGAAACCTTTGATCAAAAATGCAGGAGAAGGACAGGTAGCATCTCCTAATGAAGTCCGTATCACTCCATTATTTCATAGAGCCCTTTCCTTGCAAGCTACTCCAACACACAACAGGGTGTGCACTCGGCTGATTGAAGGTGATACGAAGCGATCATCGAAGAGACATACATCTACCGCAGGCGAACCAGAAAAGGACATGAAACGTTCAAAACTCGTACACTATGAAGGGAATGAAGAACCTTATATTTCTGTTTCGGTTTCTCATCTACAAGATTCCAGTGAAAATGAGAAAACCATGATGTGTGCCGTACTAATGTCTTCTTCAGAACAAGATCTGATTGGTGATTTTAGTAGGAACTGCAGTTTGCCGTTGGTTCAAGGTCGACATCGTGATCTCAAATCGATCTCTCCGCAAACCATGGCCCAGCTCATAAAGGGATCATTTAGGGATATTATCGGGTCCTTCAAGATTATTGACTGTCGATACCCGTATGAGTTCGAGAGTGGACACATCACTGGAGCTGTGAATCTGTATACTAGAGAGCAGTGTATGCAGCTGCTGAATGACAGTCACATCACTACTGAACACTCTACTAAAAGGGACATTCTGCTCTTCCACTGTGAATTTTCCAGTGAACGAGGACCTAATCTGTAAGTATATGAATCGTTTCGTATAACGATCTATTAGCTACAATCGCTTATGAAAATTCCACGTTGTGACATTTGTATATGTCATGCTTGCTTTTTCATATAGATGGTGCACAGTTCAACTGTGAGATTATGTAATTATACATTTTTTTAAAATTTTTCAGGTACCGTTATCTACGCAAAGAAGACCGGAATAGGAACAAAGACAATTATCCATCGCTGAATTTCCCCGAAATCTACCTGCTTGAAGGAGGTTACAAAAGTTTCTTCGAACAATACTCAGAAATGTGTACACCGATGGGATACAAGCAGATGCTCCATCCTGACCACACGGAGGATCTGAGGCATTTCAAACAAAAATCAAAGACATGGAACTGTGATTTACGGGAAGGTCGCTCAAAGAGAAGGCCTTTGAAAAAATAGATAGGGTAGAATTATTGTCGACAACGATCTATTAGCTACAATCGCTTATGAAAATTCCACGTTGTGACATTTGTATATGTCATGCTTGCTTTTTCATATAGATGGTGCACAGTTCAACTGTGAGATTATGTAATTATACATTTTTTTTAAATTTTTCAGGTACCGTTATCTACGCAAAGAAGACCGGAATAGGAACAAAGACAATTATCCATCGCTGAATTTCCCCGAGATCTACCTTCTTGAAGGAGGTTACAAAAGTTTCTTTGAGCAATACTCAGAAATGTGTACACCGATGGGATACAAGCAGATGCTCCATCCTGACCACACGGAAGATCTGAGGCATTTCAAACAAAAATCAAAGACATGGAACTGTGATTTACGGGAAGGTCGCTCAAAGAGAAGGCCTTTGAAAAAATAAATAGGGTAGAATTATTGTCGACAACTTCATGACGTTATTCCAATTTTCGCTCATCAATATCTGGAACTGAAATGAACCTGGAAATATTAGGGATCCTGTCTCAGAGATCATATTTTCAGTAATCATTACGGAGAACAAATTCGGTTCATCTGCAGATTATTACACAGTAAACACTGTATGTTAATAGAGTTATCGATATTATGGTATAAATATAGTATCAGACCGGTAATCAAAATATACTTTTGAAGAATTTGACGTATGATTTTTTCATTAACTGAAGGTGCGTTTATTCTGAAAGGTCGTAACATGTAACTAGATGGGTTTCATCTGGGTGAGATTTCATTTTGAAATCACTGGATTCATTTTTTTCTATAACTAGGACTCATCAACACATATTGCAAGTATGCAAAATTTTCATCCGATCGAATGACTGCTTTATTGGAAATAGTAATAAATCCCAACGTCTACTATGCAAAGTTGTAATGTGAATATGCTGTTTCCATTTATATTTCTGCTATTCATTCCCAATTTCATTGAAGCTTTTTGTGCAGGCAAATTTTTTATCAGACACTCAAGCAATTGATATGTAGGAGTTCAAGCATTTTGTATCAAATACACCCGAAGATGCTATCGTATATACTATTCATATTGCACATATTGCAAGGTCTTTGTGTATGCAATGTTTTATCAGATGATCAAACAATCATTCATATGTAGGAATATAAGCATTTTGTATCGAAGAAGCTATCATATTGAATGTGAGGTGAATGTGTGTATATTAAACAAAACCATACACATTCCTAGAGATCTTACACAAAGAAGAGTACCTGATGCAGTACAAATACAGGCAAATTTACCTAAAGTACCTGAAATACCTGAGTTGAGACGCTCTGACCGTATAAATAGGCAGACGACAGGATGGCAAGTTCAGTTTGAGGAGTGCCTAGAAGATGACAGTACTACCAACTGTCGAAAGCGTTCGCAGATAATCAATAGAAGATATAAAGCTTCAAATCCATTGTAATATTGAAATACTGAAAATAAAGGAAAATTAGTTGCATCATTCAAAATATATATACATATACATATATAAATATGTTCGTTCGCAGTGAGTAGACGTGTTTATTGTGGCTCCGGTTAATTGCTATCATAAAGCAAGTAAAAAGTTGGTGTTTTTCTTCGTTCTTTCTGCACAACAAGAGCAACTTCGTGGATCATCTCTGTATCGGTCCAGATATTGGAAGTTACCTTAATTCAACCTATCAAATTGATAATTAAGTTCATAATTAAGTTCATAATTAAGTTCATTTTACAATAAACACAATGGGATTCACTGAACGACAAAAAAGTGAACTGAAGAATATAACTAAAGAAATAACAAAAGAAATTCTCAAGGAATTTATGAGTGACGATGTTTTTCTTGAAGCCATCGCAAAAAAGGTAGCTGAAAAAGTGAACCAGCAAATTGATAGAATCTCAGCTGAAGTAAGTACCTTGGAATCGAAAATATTCGATATACAGGGAGAGAATGAAGAGTTATCCAAGAAAGTTGAAGACTTGGAACAAAAGCTGAGGTTGGATCAATTACGATTTTATTGTGTACCAGAAACCGATAACGGAATCTTAAAAGCAAATCTTGAAAAAATATTTTCATCTAAGTTAGCAGTAAGTGATCCAAATATAAAACAATGCTATCGAATTAGTAAACATCAGGGCAAGTCCAAACCCAGGCCTGTTATTATAAAGTTTGGAAGCGTTCAACATAGAAATGCAGTATTTTCCGTGAAAAGGCAGCTCAAAGGAAGCAATATGGTGCTAGCTGAAGACCTAATCAAAAGTCGATTCGGTTTGTTGAACTTTGCTAAAGATAAGCTGGGGAAGAATAACGTTTGGACGAACAATGGAAACCTATTTACTGTAGTTGATGGAAAGAGAACTTTACTGAAAACAGAAGAA